AACTTCAATTTAATGTCATGACGCCCATGAAAATACTCCAATATCCTAAAAATAAAACATAAAAATATCATAGCATTTAAATTTATCTAATAAATAAATGAGTCAAAAAATATATAAGTGCGATAAAATTAAGCATATAAAAATACGCTAATAAATATATAAACCACACACTTTTTCCGACTAATCAGCCGGGTTAAATGTGGCGGTCTGATATACAGACCATTAGTCCAAATTTACCTGGAAACTTGAAGTTGCACCTTACCAAGTCAAGTAAGTCAGTAAATATCACGTTTTCAATTCCGAAGCGACTATTTCGTTGTCTCGGGATAAGCTTTCAGCATTCAGACAAAGATGATTCAGTCATGTAAGAGTCAAGTCATGGTTATTCAGTCATGAGAATATTCAAGCCAGTCATGTTAAGATCAAGGATAGTCTGTTTAATAAAACAAGACTTATCTATCATTTTCAGTATATCAGCGCCTCGATTCTAAAAAATCTGAGAAATCGTGGGAGATAGTCATTCATGATGGACTTCTTTTTGAGGTTAAGTTAACCTCGGAGGGAGTAAACAGTTGCAGGTACCACAGGTTGACATACGCCGCGACGAAGAAGGGCCAATCGATAGCTACAGATCGTGCCATGATGACAAACCGACGCTTTCCACCCCAAGATGCCATGCTTGAATCACAGTACACTGGGAGATTACAGAGAGTTAGTATTAACGTACATATACGATCAGATTACGTCGACGGCGCAGGTGCAATGTTCGCCAGGTGCGGTATGCAGGCGTGCCGCACTCACTTGATGAGGAGCAGGTATGCCGCATTACAATGTGCCGCGAACGATGTGCCGCGTTGTCGAGCAGACATTCAAGAAAGGTAATTACCAATATAGCTAGTTATCCTCATTTGTGCATATGTGAATCTTTGGAATCTTCCTTGTGTACCAACAACTGGAGTCTTCACAACCAGCGTTCCGACTGGAGATCAGCCAGCAGTCAGAAGATGATGACTAATACGCTTCAGAGTTTCATTTTAAGATCATGTTATATCAAGTGGAACACTTTATTTTAGAAAGTGTCCATTTTCAGTCAGCAGTAATCAACAATTCACTTAATTGTGAATTGATATATCTTCAGTTCAGATCAAGTCTATTATTCAGTATTAAAAATACTGAATTTTCAAGTTATCAGTAAGTATAAGCTTTAAGTTAAGCTTGTACATTACAGTTTTAGTATTTCCGAGGACGGAAATATTTTAAGGGGGATGGATTGTAACGCCCCGTATTTTATTAATAAAGGAAAATACTAGCTTTTAGTTTTAAGCTAGCATTTGTTAATAAATAATCATGTTCATATTCCAAGTTCGACTATTAGTCGATACATTATTCGGTTTGATTATCCCAGTAACCGAATGAGTTTCAGATTTAGTTCCAATTCATTTAATTAAATTCATGAGTTCGGAATTAATAAGTTAAGTTGACGAATTGTCCGAAATGTCGATATTCGGATTAATCGTCCAAGTCATGAATATTCAAATTAAATTCGAATATCATGTTTATGTTCGGAACTAATTATTTCAGTTAAGATTCTTCGAAATTATTTTCGAAGTCATATTCACGTTCGGATAAATTTTGATATTAAGTACCAAGTTTAATTCGATAAATCATGAGTTATCAAATAATTAAGCATGATTAACTATGCTTAATTAGTTATTAATCATGTTTAGTATATTAAAAAGAAAATTGTCGTGGGGCATGTACACCAAAGTCATGATCATTTTGTTCCAAATTATGCTCAAATTTTATAAAAATGTCGTGTGTATTTTTTAGTATCAAGTCATGGAAAATATGCTTTATGTCATAGCATGAGGTGTCAATTATTTATCACCTACAAATTATGACTAAGCTTTGGTTAAGATGACTAATCTATTGAGCTTCAAGGTTATGCCATGTGTCCCACAATTCTTCCAACTCTTCCCTAACTCTCGACCATGTATAAGTAGCTTGAGAGATTGGAATAATTGTGCACATTTTGAGCTATATTATAAGTATATATATATTTACTAGTATAAAGAGAGTGAGGGAGAGTCTTGCACACGCACACAAGCGCATAACAGCGTACCACGCGCGTATCCTATGCGCAAGTCGCACGCGGAGACGCACAGTCGCACGCGGAGGCTTGAGCTCTGAGTAGTCCTAGCCGAGCGATTGTCCGAGTGATTGCTAAGGTAACCTCGGTTTACCTTCTATTTATGTATTTGAAATCATGTTAGATCGGTTAAGTCAAGTTCACGAATTAGTTTTTATATGCATTCGGTCGTGCGAGTATATGTCGAGTATGTTCATGTTTTTGTTCGAAACTTTCGAACAATAGTCATGTATTCAGTCATGTTATGTTATCTCTTGTTATAGTCAAGTTCGTCCGTGCAATTTATGCCCTAATAGCTTTTAAATGATGTTTCATGTTTAATTGATCTTGAGTTGCCGAGAGAAAAGTTGAATCGGTCGGGAGACGGCCTAACGCCGTCGGCGGCGCACGGTGCGCTCGCCACGGCCCTATTCAGTTTATCGTGCAAAAGTGATATTTTCAAGTTATTTCAATGATCATGTTCATGTTATATTAGATTATGTTAATTGAGGTCAGATTGCACGGAGTTATTGTCGGACAGCCGGCAAGGGTCGGCCGTGGCTGCGCTGTCCGCACACA